GTAATGATACCATCCTATACACTCTGGAGGCCTAGAAGTATCTCTGTGCAGTAGAGTCTTGTGTGCTTGATTCACAGAAATAAACTGTTGGCCAAAATAGCTCTGAAACCATCTTTGAACATTTTCCTTCTTGCCTCCTGCCAGCTGCTTGCAGAACAGAAAACCCCCTTAGCTTGGGCTGTTGGCTGAGCTGCCACAGCAGCCTTCACATGAGAGTGTTGGGTTTGCAGCAATCACTAGGTCTGGTTCTTTGTAAAGAATCTTCCTTAGGTTTGATTCTTCATAAAGAACCTTCCCTAGGTTTGGCTCATTGTAAAGAATCTTTCCTTGCCCTTTCTGCGTTTTGAACACTAACACAAGTTGTAGCAGCTCAGTAATGATACCATTTTATACACTAGATGTATCTCTGTACAGTAAAGTCTTGTGAGCTTCATTCACAGAAATAAACTGTTGGCTAAAATAGCCCTGAACCATCTTTGAACATTTTCCTTCTTGCCTCCTGCCAGCTGCTTGCAGGTGCCCAGGTGAATGAACTGACCAAGCACCGTCAGACTGCTCTTCACTTGGCAGCCCAGCAAGACCTGCCCACCATTTGTTCAGTCCTTCTGGAGAATGGAGTAGACTTTGCAGCTGTAGATGAAAATGGAAATAATGGTAAACATCAAATTACACAAGTAAATGCAAAAGACTTCAGTAAGTCTGTTAATGATGTGTCCTAGTGGTGGAGAGCTCACTGTGAATGGCCTTGCACTGCAAAGGTGAAAGAATGAAAGTCCAGGAAATCAAAGCAGATGGAAGGAGTTGTTTGAGAAGGAGGGCTGGGAAAGTGGAAGGAGGTTTTTTTGTTTAGTTATTAGGCTGTAATTATTGCTGGTACTCAGAGTCTTGAACCTTCTTTTTCTCTTTTTCTTTGTTTTTTTTTAACTGTTCAGCTCTGCATCTGGCAGTGATGCACGGCCGGCTGAACAACATCCGGGTCCTCCTCACAGAGTGCAATGTAGATGCAGAAGCCTTTAACATCAGGTAATTATTTATATTCTGATAATATGAGGTAATTAAAGCCTTTAATATCAGGTAATTATTTATATTCTAATAATATCAGGTAACAGGCTAAAAGAACCATTTTGTGTTTTAAAATACATGCTGCTTAAAAATATATATTTGGCTTGTATTATATTATTTATACACAAATTTGGAAGTGTGCAGATGATGCTGTATCTGAATTCTGTGCCAATTATATCTATACATCAAGGAAGGAAAGTTAAGTAGGCAGTTGTGTGTGATGTACTGGGTTACTGAGATGTAGCATTGTTCAAGTCTGAAGCAAACTTGAAAGCAAGGAGAGTTGGATGAGTAACTGCAGTAGCAAGCAGACTTTGATCAGGATAACAAACTCTTTTCCCCAGAGGCCAGTCACCAATGCATATTTTGGGACAATATGGGAAAGATAATGCAGCAGCCATCTGTGACCTCTTCTTGGAGTGTATGCCAGAATACCCTCTAGACAAACCTGATGCTGAAGGAAACACAGGTAGGTGAGACTCAACAACTACTAAACTTGAAAGTAATCAAGTTGTATTCATGGTATGTCACTTTTACAGCTGGAATCATTGGCAGTAGTGTGTTAAATACAGTAGGAGGCACACAATACATGGAAACTTAAAAACTAAGGATCCTGTCTGGGCTGGATGTAATGCAATCTGCCACTCTGTTAGCTGGCTTTTACTTTTCAGTGCTCCTCTTGGCTTACATGAAGGGAAATGCCAACTTGTGTCGTGCAATAGTGAGAGCTGGGGCTCGCCTGGGAGTTAACAATAACCAAGGAGTCAATATCTTCAACTATCAAGTGGCTACAAAGCAGCTTCTCTTTAGATTGCTGGGTAAGTACCACTTGCTGTGGTGGGAAAGTGTTTCTGGCTTTTGCTTCCAGGATACTTCAGAGGAAAAACTCTGGGCTTCTGACTTAGATGACAGTAATTCCAGAGAGGCAGAACTTGTGAAGTTTATACTGCTAACACTGCAGAGTAGAAATACTAGTTCTGGTGATCAGCTGAAAAGTTGTACAGTGCAGACTGTTAGATGCTACTTTTTTTGGAAGGATAGACATGGAAATCTTGGCTGGTTGTGCAGTCCAATGTAGCTTAAAACACAGACACTGCTTTTTAGCTGCTGCTGCACAGTTGCTGTGGACAATGTGATGGAAATCAACTACAGATTATCTACAAAGGAGACTCCAGCTCCTGCAAGAGTAAAATCCATTACACTGAATGCAGCCTAGAACTGGAAAAGCCTTCAGGTTTAGTGTTCTCAGAAGATGTGTGAGCCCATTTTGCCTTCACATTTTTGCCTCTTAACAGATATGCTGACAAAAGAACCTCCCTGGTGTGATGGCTCCAACTGCTATGAATGTGCTGCCAAATTTGGAGTCACGACAAGAAAGCATCACTGGTAATATGAGCCCCCTTGCTGTGCTTACAAGGAAATGGATTCCTCCCAAATGTAGCTGGGCTTGCTCCTTTTAGTATCTTAAGTGTTAATGTAGGTGTATAACCACTAGTCCAGCTGAAACATTCCATCCTGTCTTAGATCAGAAACTTGTAGTCTGACTGAAATCATATTTTAAGCAGCTTGTGCATTTAATATTGTGATTAGTTGTAAATGAGAAATCATGTCCAAATTCAAGTAATGAAACAGGATTTAAATACCCAATTGTCAGAGAAAGAGTGTGAGGCACTTCACAGAAGAGCAACAATACATTTTATTAAGAGAGTGAGTTAATAGAAGTTCAGTGGTAAATGTGGCAGTGGTTTATCAGGAGTTGATTATTTCCTGCATAGAGGTTGGGGTTGGGGAGAGCCTCCTGTGGGGGCAGGAGGTTCAGAGACAGCAGCCACTGGGGCTGTGGCTGACACAGCAGAGACAGGAGGGAGCACAGCACCACCACAGTGGAAGGGTGACCTGCTCCAACAGAGGTGGCAGATTGAGGCAGGAGTTCACAGCTTCAGTTTGGGATCCTGTTGGCAGTGTGGAAATGGTTGAAGATGAACATGAACTGCTCTTGTGTAGATAGTTGCCTTTTTAAATAGTCTGAACTTGTACAAAACATGCTGGTTGGAAGGGGGTTAAGCTAAGGTTTTTCTTAGCTCAGAGAAGCTGCACCTGCCTCAGTTGAAGCAGTACCATGTGACTCACTGGTACAGAACCAGCATGTGCTGTTGGCATTAGTCAGTTATTCCAAAATATCAGAAAGATACAAGACAAATATCAGAAGATACAAGATAATCATAGCTTTTCAACTGCTAATGTGTATTTAATGATGCTGTCATTGATAAAGAATGTCAGACAGTAACATCCTGGTGTTCACCTGGAGGAAATTCACTTTTCTCCCACCCCTCTTCTGTCAACAGCCGACACTGTGGACGCCTGCTCTGCCATAAGTGCTCAACAAAGGAGATTCCTATCATAAAATTTGATCTGAACAAGCCAGTTCGAGTTTGCAACATCTGCTTTGATGTCCTGACTCTGGGAGGAGTCTCCTAGTAAGCTGTGGAAGTAAAGGGATTCCCAGTCAGTGCTCCTGACAGCAGCTCTGCTTACAAGCCCTCTGGATAGGGAAGAGGAGGCTTACACATGTCTTCTGCAATAGACTGAACTAATTAAGGACCCTGTTATGATATACTCTGGTATAAATGATTTTGTATGACTGTAAATGTATCAGGCTGCGATAGACTTCACTAGGAATCAGAGTGGATTGTTGGAACCAAGTGACAAAAGAATTGAGACCCTCTTCTAGTTGCAGTGGGGTATGGAAGCTGAAATTTGTACTGATTGAATCTGCATAAAACAGGTCTGTCCTCAACATGGTGCTTTGCACTGAGCAACTCTATTAAGTCCTGTGGCTTTCAGGCTGCTTAGTAGAGATGGTATTAAGTTTCAGGGTAACCAGGTATCTTTCTTTGCTTTGTCTTAAAGATAAATGTTCCCCTTCTCTAGAGAAGACTTTTTGTGAAGCTAAACTGAGCTGTTGCAACCACTGTTCAAGAAACTCTTCAGACCTGGGGGTAGTTCTAAGTATAGCTCAAGAATTGTGGCCTTACAACAGAAAGCTTTACAACATCTGATGCAAAGCAGTCAGAATTGCAGATCCACATCTTGATACCTCCTCAGCAAATGACTCGTTAGCTTTAGCATGTTCAAGAGAAGTGCAAGATTGTTTTAGGAAAATGCTCTTGCTCATACCTGCTGCAACTGTCAGTCTTCATTGCACTTTCATATTTATGTTGCTGGTCCTTGCAGTCCATGGCACTTGTACAAATGCCCATGAGTTTGCTGAAAGGCTGAGCATGTGCTAAAGGAGAAACACTAAAAGTGGTGGAGTCTAACTCCCAGTACAGCAATAAATGCTGAAGTGCATTAGGAGTCCCAGGAGGGAGAGAAACACTGAAACACTTTCTGGGGCTTGAGGGGCCTGGTAGCTGCTGTGGGAGAGTCAGAAACCCTGCCAAGTGAGGAATGTGCTGCACCTCTAGACACTAAACCTGGGCCCATTTCAGCAGGATTGCTGGGGAGTGGGAGTGTACATGGAGCCTTCCTGTTAGGAGTAAGCTGCAGTGTTTTAATCTGGGCTGTTGTACTCTCTTCAACATGCTGAATCTGTGGAAAGCCACCACCACGTTGTCTGGGTAAGCAGGAAGGTACTTGACTGGCAGACCAGCTTGTGATTTGGTGGGCAAAGGCTTCAGTTAGAAAAATGGGTACTTAAGCTAAACTACATGCCATGTTAGGGCTGTTTTTATTTCAAGAGATAAAGCTAGTATAGACTCAATTCAGCATTCCTCATCTTTACTCCATGAATTGGTGTGCAGTTTTTAATGACTGTTATCTCCAGTGGGCTGTATGGACAGGTGATGCTGTGTTGCCCTGTTTGGAGCAGTGACTTGTTGGTCTTGAAGAGAGAGATGAGATGATGAACCAGGCTGCTCCTGTTACAGGAAACTTTCTCAGTTTTTCTCAAGCTTGTACAAGGAGAGGACAGGAGAGGGTGCAATTGCTGACATTTGTATGATTAATTTCACATCGAGTCTCACTTGATCTGCACTTTGATCTTCCAAAATGCCTATGTTGTAACTGGAATCACCCCTGTACCACTAGGGAAGAACAATGGATGAAACACAAACTTGCCTCACTGTTTGATGTGTGCTGCTGACATGTTGCAACAGAATGCTCTGGGTAACACAGCTGGTCTCTAACACAGTTCCTAAGGCAAATGGGGCACCTCTGGCACAATGCTGTAGGTGAGTGAGGGGAAATAGTGCTGTCAGTTGATGTTAGCTGCAGTAATTGTTGGTGTCAGTTAACTTCAATCTACAGTTTGGGGGTTTTTGAGTGAAAGAGATGATGGAAAACATTGTATGTCTGGTATTTCAGGATGTCTGGTTGCAGATCTCTAGCAGTGAAAGAATGATGGAAAGTGCATTTGGTGAAAGAAGTCTTGACTGTAATCCCATGGTCACATGTTGTTTTCCTTCTTGGTTTGGAGCTGAAGTGCTGTGGAGGGGTAAGGGTGTGCTCAGAATGCTCAAAGTGCAGAGGAGGGGTTTTCCTGTGGGCTTCAGCCTGGTGGGAAAACTGCACATCTGTAATTGCCAAAGCATTTAAACATCACTGTTTCAGTGGCTTCTCTGATGTAAGGGCAAGGGAACAGGAAAGCAGTGACGGAAAATGTGGATCTGGTGAAAATTCAGATTACCTGAATGCAAGTTAAGGCTGGGTAGTTGCTTTCTGAAAAACAGGATACTGATTATAATTGTAAAACTGTGGGAAAGATCTGGGAAACCACCTGTAGTGCTCCTGGTTTGCTGTTTACAGCCAGTACTGTCCCAGCTTACTTACTGAAGTCTGAAAAGAAAGTAGATTATCGTTAAATATACAGCCTGAGGTGTTTGTTTAATTTAAAGCAACTAAATTCAGCAAATTTGATCCTTTTGAAGTGCCTTTGAGATAGTTTCCTTCCAGCCAACTCTAAATAGCTTTCTGCCAGAGCTAAAGAGGGAAAGCTCACACCTTGAACCAAAACCCACCTTAGTTCTTTTCTAGTTCAGCTGAGGAGTTGACCCCTCCAGACAACTGCTGGGGCTCAGTCCCTCACACACTCTGCCTAGTGTTGGTCTGAGCTCTCAGACCACTGAGGTTTTTTGGGAGTTTTGCAGGCAATGCTCCACTACAGGGTACAAATGTGAATGAGGCACTTGGTAATGTAGTGGTGGTCAACACATTTCTAACTCTAAACTGCTCTTCCCTTTTTGTAGCATAATAGAGTTGTTACCAAACCCCCCACCCCTCTTAGCCCTGCTTTTAGTGGTAAATATTAACCCAAGTCTGCCAAGCATTGAACAAAGGGTTAGATGGAAACTCAGTTTGTGTCCCTGGAGTGCTGCTGTCACACGAGGCTCACCAGGGGTGCATGGGAGGTCGGGTGGTTCCTGCTGTAGCTTTTGTTCTGAGACTGGATTCCTTTTGCCTGCAGTCACCCAGCACTCTTACACAAGCAAACACCGTGGTGCAGCACTCTTACACAAGCACAAAGTGTGGTCTGGCTGGAATTTCTGTCTGTGAAGGTGCAGTCGCTGTTTCACACCACTGAGTGGAGTGAGAACGCTGCTGTTGGAGGCACTGACAGAGCAGAGGGAGTTGCTGGCTAAAAGCTGACAGATGCCTTAATGACTTCCCGTGCTGGAGATAACAGCTCATCCAACTGCTCCTGTAGTGCTTAGAAGCTAACATGTAACAGTATGGGAGGCCAAGGCTGGATGGTTTTGTAGATCAAATGTTAATAGCAAGTCCTCTTTTTTCTGTAACCAGCAGAGGTGGTCACTGCAGCAAACTCATCTCTAGAAAAATCAAAGCTTGTATGAGTGACAGAAATAACTGAACCTTCTAATACCCTCTGTGAAATAGAAAAGGAAGTCTTAGAACAATGGCATTTTATCTGCAATGTTTGTCTGGAGTTGTTGTAAAAATGTATTTTTCCAATATGCATTACTTCGTTGTGTAATGATTCTACTTGTAATAAAATGCAGAACTAGATGATGCATTGTGAGGTGAAACCTTGCTGAGGAAGTGTCTGCTCCTGTAGAGACAGCTGCCCCTCTGCAACTTATCCTGACCAACCACGAAGGAAACCAGGGATCCAACACCCAGCTGGGCACAACAGCTTTATTCTTTGTTCTGAGATTAGTCCAGGTCTTCACTGTCATGTTGTGGAACTGCTCCAACTGTTCTTTTGGCTGTCAAGGTCTGCTGTTCTGGTTTGTACCATGTAGTCATCTCGAATGCCTTATACTAGACTTACCTATAATCAGTTTTGTGAAACCAACCCGAGCTCCTGGGGCCAGAGCTGCTCCGGGGAGTTCACAGCCCAGGCTCCCAGCCCTGGGGGCACTCAGAGCTGTGCTGGAGGCAGCTCAGCCCCCGGAGAGCACAGAGCTGCTGCAGCCTCACTGCAGGACAAGGAAAACTCCAGTGCAATAGCAAACCCAGCCAAGGCTTCTGGGTGAGATTGTGATGCATTATTAATTAGTCTTTTATTAATAAAACTTACTGAAGTACAGATGAATGGTGAGCTTTATTAGAGCACTGTCTGTGGTGACCTGAGCCCTCTCTAGCTGCCACTGTTCCCTTTCCCACCATGGGAGAATCCAGCTGAGCTGCTCAGTGGAGATACCTGGAGCACTTCAGGTCACTGAGGGTGTCTCCCTGTTTGCTTTAATGGATGATTTATTCCTGGTGCAAGGCAAACTCTTCCTCCCCACTGTTTCCAAACCCTAAACTCAGGAAAAAGCTATGAACTGGTTTCCAACCAACTTTAAGTTAAACCAACACCTCCCTGCCCTGCCTTTTTGCAGCAGTTTATTTGATTTTTGTGTAGCTCTTGCAATCAAAACCATCCCCTCAGCACTATTTGCATAGTGAGTGAGTGTTCCAGCAAGATGAAACTTGCTCAGAAGGTCAAGCTGGTCCCACCTTCTCTGGGACTGGTTTGCCCTCACAAACTACTTCTTACAGCATTTAATAGTCTGGAATTTGCTGCAACTTTTAAATAGCTTTAAAAAGCTCTTTTAAAGGTACTTGCCAATCATTTGGAGAAATGATTTCACTACTTTAAATGCAATTCCTTTTTAAAGTGGTGGTGTCTTTTTAAATGTGGCAAAGGCCAAAGTTGTGGAGGCAGTGAAGTGCTGCTTTGCAGCTCTGTGCTGCACCTTTTACACAGCTTGATCTTCAGCTCTGTGTGAAATGAGTTTTCATTTCTCACTCCACCCCCAGAGATGGCTCAAGCCCAGGGCTGAGGTTTGGTTCTGCCACACATCCTGCTCCCCCTGAGTGCCACGAGCTGGCACAGCAGGGCAGTGCCTGCAGGGGCTTCTCTTCAGGATGAAGACAGGTTAAAAACCCCCAAAAATAAAACCACAGCCCCACTGTTCCAAGCATGTGCATGTTTAAGTTTGTGTGGCTCCATCCTTGGCAGCCACACAAATGCACTTCATCCCTGTAGCATCCTCTGAGTTTTATCAGTGGGAAATGCTGTGATGTGTCCTGCTGCAAGGGAGGGAATGGTGCCTCCTCTAAACTTGCTAATTAACTAACTAACTCATCACTTACATTTTGGGCCTTTCTTCAGAAGTGGTGAAAGCTAAAAATGAGTTTATAAACACTTTCCAGGTGCTGATACATAGGTGGCAGCTGCCTTAAGGAGAAGAAGTGACCACAACCTGTGCCACCACTGGACCCTGATCTGCCTGCCTCTCTCAAAGCTCAGCTCCACCAAAACTGATTTTAACAGCAGATTCCACTAAAACCAGCAAATGCTTCCCTGCAGCTTGAGGGTTGTAGTGCAGGTATTGCTTCCTCCCTTTTAGCCCCACCCAGAGAGGGTAATGACCTGCCCTGCATTTCTGGGAGTCACTCACAGTGCTGAATTCTGCCAGCTGTGACACAGTAAATATGGACTTTAAAAGTTCTGGGTCTTGTAAGGTCACATCCAGCTCAGGTTATAGTCTGACAGGCACAGAGCAGATGGGAGGAAGTCTTATACCAGAATGGAAACAGGAGGCAGATTACAGTAGGATGGTTCTGTTGCCACCCAGGCAACAAAAAGAAAGCTATTTAAAACTACTCCTTCCTGATCAGAACAGTTTGAAAGTGGTGAATCACAGACCAGGACAGTGAGGTTAATATCAAACAAAAATTCTCACAGGTGACTTCAATTTCTGGGCTCAGTATCTAAAGCAAACACAGTGAGGAAATGCAGCTCTGGCCTTTGCCTTCTCCAAGAATTTGATAAAGCTTGTGTGTAACTAAACTGTGCAAGTTCCTGATACTGTGGACCTTAATTGCATGAGAAATTCAGGGTTCTCCCTGCTACCTTTAAACTCCTGGGAGTGAGTCAGGAGCATCAGCAGTGCCTGCAGCAGGACCTGTGGCAGTGATGCTGCAGCAGCTCTGTGCTCACCGACCTCACTGTCCCACCACTGTGCACACAAACACCCAGTCCCTGACTGCACAAGGAGCAGCTCTAAAACACAATTCAGGCTGTGCTTCTTACAGTTTGTTCCCAGGTGCAGAAATATTTCCCATAGAAATAAAGAAATCATCCTGTTACTTGGTTTTTTAGCCACTGAGCTGGCTGAAGTGTTTCCTCCATCTCCATATATGTTGAAAAGCATCACAAATCCCATGAGATTGTTCCTGCTCTCTTTGCAGGCATGGAGCTGGAGCTGCCCCCCCCGGGGCAAGGTTTCAGTGCAAGGTTTC